CGTTTAACACAAATCCAGCCAGCAGTGAAAAAACTCTTGTCGAAACGGAATAAAAATATAGTTGATCGTGGTTTTATGGTTTGGAGTGTTCCGGAGAAAAACACTGCTGACTGCAAACTGTCGACCGTCAAGGAGGAAGGGATTGCCCGGTATCAGTCGCCAATTTCTTTCGTGAAGCTGGGGCTAGGCCAAACAGAGGCGCCGAAGAACAGCTGTCGCTGTTGGCCAAAGACGTTGTCTCCAGTGAGACCACCCATTGTGTTCAGAGACCACAAACGCCATCTCTACGGTACAGTCGATCTGTGAATTCAGCCCCCAAATTTTGTGGGAGCTTTTCTGAATGCAAAAATCGAGTAATAGTTCTCTTAAATAAAGGATAGTTTTGCAGAGTTTTCACACTCCTGGGTAGTTTATTCCAAATAGCAGTTGCATTTACAGAAAAGAACCGACGATATTTAACAGTACGTGCCAGAGGAAGAAATAAAAAGACCTCACGGTGACTGTTACGTTGGGGCTGAATATGCTGTCTTAAAGAAATGAATGGGTTAAAGGTGCAATTATATAAAAGCTTAAATAGTAAAAATAGTCCCTTTTGTAATCTAAAAAACAATAAAGGATCAAGGCCCGTAAGCCGGCAGCGTTCTTGATAAGACAAATGTCGGCGTTCCAGGGTTAAAACTCTCTTGATAAAAAAGTTTTGGACGGATGCTATTTTCTTCCGCTCAGCAGCACGCATGATGCTAAATAAAAATGAACAGTATTCCAGGCCAGGTCTAACGTACAACTTGAAAAGGCGCATTCTGATGTTCCTAGTTTTAAAGTTTCGGAGGATAAACCCGGTCGTTCTGCGTAATTTGGAGACTATCAAGGCACAGTGCTCAGAGAGATTGAGACTCTTGGAGTGTGATATGCCCAGATCCTTTGTAACCCTGGGCACGTTTATGGAGTGACCTTCAATATTTAGTTGAGGTTGGTGGTCGTCGCCAACCACCATGACTGAGCACTTATGCCAAGAAAGAGAAAGGCGCCATGTGCGGCATCACTGGGCGAAAGCCTGTATATCGCTCTTTAGGAGCTCAAGCACGATGTCACGATCTGCCGGCTTATATCGATATGCAACTTTAAGATCATCAGCATACATGAAAGGCTATCCGTTCTGAAATAAATCGAGTATATCATTAAGGAAAAGGCAAAATAAAAGCGGGCCGAGTACACTACCCTGAATGACTGCACTCCTCACACATGTGAGGTTGGAGATAGCATTGGAAATCTTGACTCGTTGTATACGAGCGTCCTGGTAAGAGGACACAAAATTCAAAAGTTTCTCACCTATTCCGAAATAGGATAGTTTCATAAGAAGAAGAGCACGTTCAACACGATTGAAAGCGAAATATACAGTGTAAAGCGTAAAACCGTTGTCCCTAGATTGGAGAACATAGTACAAGAAAGAGAGTCGACATGTGTCACAAGACCGAGCTTTGAGGAATTCATGCTGAGAAACACTCAGTAAGTTATTTTCTGCTAAGTGGCACATCATCTTATCTTTGACCAATGTCTCTAAGATCTTCGAAACCGCAGGGAGGGAGTTTATTTGCCGAAAGTCTTCAAATTACGTAGATTGGCCACGCTTAGGAATGGGTAAAATGTGAGATCCTTTCCACAAGGTACGATAAATTTCACTTTCAAGAGCAAGATTAAATATCTTGCATAAGAGGGATGGGAAAATCGTATCTGCATCGGTTTTCAAAATGCCTACTGGGACACCATCGAAGGCGGTTTAATTTGCTGCAAAGGGGTACATCGGAGGTTGGAGTCCACAAACTTGTGCTTTTTCAAAAGTTCAACCTATGAATTAATAAGGTGGATCCTTTATAACTGGCGTTGAAAACTAATTATACCAAAGAAAGCATATTAACTTACAACCGTTACATCGTGCGGGTTCTAATACTCATGCGATTGCTTAAAATCATGAATGAGGTTTATGCTACTTACACAGGTACATTACTAGGTAATCTTCAACTAGACTTATGAAATGAACGACGTACTGTATGAGAGGCAGTGCATTCGTCAATGATATTATAGGGTTTATTAATGGTATTTACTGTGTCCTCGGGTTCAGTCAGTATTGGGTACTTAACGGCCTCATTAACCTCTACGAAAAACTGAATAGCTTTTTTTGGAATGAATGCAAAGAGATTGATTTACCTAGTGGGCTACGTCTCGCCATTTAGCTCGACCATCCTACCGATCTCATGATCCGTTCTATGGTCGTTTTTGGAATGGAGTAGCTGGGGCAGTGACTGAAATCAGGATCACGACGGATATCCTCTGTACATGCCACTAGTGATTTGCACATACCATGGAATATGGTGTGCGATGACCTTCCAACAAAAGAGTGCTATCCGTGGGCCCACTTCAGTAAAAGCTGAGGGACAGTGACGACCGGAGCACAGTTGATAGGAGATTACGGACGAAATCCTCGTTCCGTCCACCCACTACGTTGAGCTATTTTATCTACAAGCCAAAAAGTGTAAATGGAACTCTATATTTTCACACTGTCTCTGGATGACAAGTCGGGTTTGGATACAACACTCGAACGAATTCATCGTAGACCTCTGAGATTCGCATGGGTCAAGGCAGTGGAGATGGCCTATGACTCACAGCTTGCTTATTTAAAACAGTTTTTCAGTAAACACTTCCCGTTGTTACTGAAATTCATGAAGGAGGAGGGCCCGTCCATGTATTGTATGGTACATTTTTTACTGGGTTTTTTTAATTAAAGTAAAAGAAGAACAGTATTATGACATGGGTACGAATTCAATTCGCATGAGTAGAGAACGGGATCTTTCCGATAGCGCGCTCGGTTTGAATTTTGAGGAGCAAGAAGGACATTTTCAATCGAGTTCCTCACTGGAAACAGTTGGTCCGGCATCAGCAATTGGATTCTCAAACGCATTGTTGCCTACTACCCTCAACCTTGCTGCCATTGTTGCCCTCATCGTACGACTAGGACAATTTTCTGCAAACCTGGCGATTCTTCTGGCAATCTGAGCGTAGTCAGCACAGCCTACAAATCCTACATATCGTCCCGAACTGTCTACTTTACCTTTGCAACAGGACCTACTAAAGGCTGAGTCGATAATTTCTACACTGCTTGTCGAGCTGCTTAGATTTGTACTCCTGGAATATCATCAAAAATTCTTAACTAAAAAGTCCTCCAGGCCTTGCATTCTTCAGATTCTCCGACAAACCCAACCATACACAAAGTTTTCCCTATTTGGCCCTAGGCGACGTTTTTTTCTTCGATTCCTGTGGCCTGCTCCTTTTCCTTAACTTCACGGCATGACTGAAGTACGCACTGACGTCCGCAAAATAGGACCCGAGTGTGGAGTCAATCCAGCGATCACCCCTTGCTAAGTCAAGTGCGCTAACCCCTACGCCACCGCAGCAGGTCGGCGAGCGATATCACATAATTTACTTGACTGTATGGACGCAGAAAATGCAGGCCAAAGCAGCAGTTGATGCCAGATTCTAGCCGTCAAGGTCAACTATCTTGAGGAAGAAATCACAAAGATGAAAGACCAGTTGCAATGCAGTCTAGACCAAGCTAACGCTACCAATATGCCTACTGGACGAGTAACCAGAAGTAGGGCAAAGGCTCCCAGCAAAATAGGCACGGCAGCACCTAATAGGGCAGCCCCAGAACGAATAGCTAAAAATCGAGATAATAACGACTAGAAAGGAAACCAAAAAACTGAAGAGAAGAAGAAATCTAAATGTAAAAAGGCCGAGGAAAACGGATCACTACTTCCGGAAGATGCCTCTTTAGCGGCCGAAACAGAGACACTGAGAGATGCTCCGTCTCTCATGGTAAACGATGTGTGTCCAAACACCTTGGCTGACTCTCAGAAATAGTCCGAGCTTGATAGACCTAGTACGAGCGGTGGAATCGATTCATTCATCACAGACACAGAGTTCTCTCCGCAGTCTCCTCTGCCAAGTGCTTCTTCCAAGTTTGTCAACATAGGAGCCATACAAACAGACGGCGTAAGCGCATCTGCTCCTTCATCACCAGCGCGTAGTCCCTGAGCGTTACGTCATTTAGGGAACCACAATTCCGTAGAAAATAAAAAAGAGACCGACAGAGAAAAATTTCTTATTATTCAGAGGCTCCCTGAATCTAGTGCACTTACTCCCAAAGAGCGGGTTTCGGAAGACCTATCACTCTTCCAAGGACTTCTCAATAATATTTTGGAACCCACGGAGGCTATTGAAGTGATCAAAGCCTTCCGCCTTGGAAAACGAACAGATAATCCATCAATGTCCACTCGTCCCCGGCCTCTTAAAGTTGTGCTGACCAGCAGCGACCAAGCCAGTCTCATTTACTCCAGGCGATTCAGGATTAAAGGCTCCAACCCAGGTGTTTTTTTTTCAACCGGACTACTCGCCAGCCGAACGGCTCAAACGTCGTCAGCTAGTTCTAGAACTAAGAAAGAGGCTCAGCGATGGGGAGAACAATTTAGTTATATACAACAACCAAGTATGGCGGCGTCCGTCAATCTTCCTTTGGACAGGTCCGGTCCGAATGACCGCGCAGCCGACATATTAAGTGAAGGCGTTAACCAAAGTGATACCACATCTTCCGTCAGCCGGAAATTGAAATTCTTGTACACCAACGTGCAGAGTTTGCTGTCAAAGTTCGACGAGTTGAAGATCCTCCTCTGCGACCTATCCCCTGACGTAATCTCTTTAACAGAAACCTGGTTGACACAACACGTGGACGACCGTGAGCTGGCCTTGCCTGGCTGCCAGATGTTTAGAAGGGATAGGGAAGGGCGTCAGGGAGGAGGCGTACTCACGTATGTAAAAATGGGCTAAATGTATCAGACAAGACCGATAACTTTTCGTGCAGTTCCCAGGCAACCTGGCTGTCTATTAAAGTGCCGAGCTCGCCTAGCATCGATTTCCTGACAGTTTATCGACCGCCGAGACGGGACAACATGGCCGACGCTCGCCTGCTCGAGGAGCCCGAAAAGTTCGTTACGCGGCCGGATATCCTGATCATGGGCGACTTTAACGCGCCCTATATTGACTGGAGCTCGACCCATGCAAATAGCTCAGAACAGAACTTCGATAGGAGTTTTCTGAACACGGCACTGAAGTTATTTCTCACCCAGCACGTCATGTTACCAACTAGAGTGCACGACGGCCAACAAGCCAACTGCCTTGATCTTGTCCTTACGAAGTCACAGGACAGCATTGATGAGGTGTCATGCCTACCCCCCTTAGGTAAAAGTAATCACGTCGTTCTTCTATGGGATTACTCGCTTTTTTCCCTGCCCAAGAAACCCGTGATAGTTAGAAGAACCCTTTGGCGCGGGGATTTCGACCAAATGAGGGCTGAAATTTCACGCATTTAGTGGGAGTCCATATTTGTTGGGAGCAGACTCAAATATTGGCAACGGTTCCGAGAAATTCCGCACGAGCTGATCGTAAACCAATGCCGGCTTTCACGGAAGAGGTTAACTAACAAACCTCGATGGCTTACGCAAGCCTTGAAGAATGAAGTAAATAAAAACCGACGGCTGTGGAAAAAAGCGCTTTCTGACAGGAGCCCCACATATATATGCGCATACAAAATTCAAAGAAATCGAGTTAAGGGCTTTATCCTCAAAACTAGAAGGGAATTCGAACGGGATCTGCTTAACCGTGCCGCGGAGAAACCTAAATTATTCTACGGCTACATTAGGCAGTGCACGCGGAACAAGAACCCAATACCCCTGCTAAGGACTGCTGAAAGCGAACATCTCACTGACGACAGGGCGAAAGCTGATTATCTTTCAGAATTTTTTCGGTCTGTTTTCAGCAGCGAAACAGGATTCAACCCTTTGGCCCTTCAATCCTTCGAAGACACCCCAATTATAGAGACCGTCCAGTTCATCGAGGGCATGGTTCTGACGGAGTTGCTGAGGCTAAATAAATCCAAATCAGCAGGTCCTGATGAGATTCCGGCGAAGATTTTGAAGGAACTCGCCGGCGAGTTGTCTAAACCACTCTCCATGCTTTTTCATACATCCTTTGATACCGGATATCCGCCACCCGACTAGAAGTCGGCGTGGATTACGCCGCTGTACAGTGGCTGAAGTCGGGTCTCTGCGAACAATTACAGACATGCCAGCCTCACCTTCATTTGCTGTAAGATTATGGAGAAGATAATAAAGCAACAATTAATGCAGTTCCTTGAGCAAAGCCATTTGCTTTCCGATTCTCAGCATGGATATCGCAAAAGCTGATTCTGTGTGACAAACCTGTTCTACTGTCTGGAACACTGGACTAGGGCTGTTGATAGAGGAGATATGGTGCATGTCATCTATATCGACTTTAAAAAGGCCTTTGATAGTGTGCCTCACCACCGCCTTTTATACAAACTTAGCCGTGCAGGAGTGCGAGGTAAGCTTCTGATGTGGGTTCGGAACTTTTTATTCGGCCGCTCTCAAGCCGTCCACGTCAGTGACCAACAATCCGCCGAGGATGCCGTTAATAGTGGTGTTCCTCAAGGCTCGGTTCTTGGCCCTCAACTGTTCCTAGTATACGTCAATGACTGCGCCAACAAACTGAATTGCTATGTCGCAATGTTTGCCGATGACATAAAGATCTGGAGTACCATACGAAGCGAAGTTGACGAGGCGCGACTGCAGACAAATCTGGACCACCTCGAGCAATGGTCGAAAGACTGGCTTCTACCGTTCAACGTAAACAAGTGTACTTTCCTACGCGTCGGCCGAACCAGTTCTCCTAACCACACGGTCTACCGTCTGACTGGCAAACCATTGCAAGAAGTCGATGCCCAGAAGGACTTGGGTGTATGGATCACAACCTCGCTTTAGTCTTCGCTGTAATGCTCAAAGGTAGCCAAGTCGGCGATGTCCATTCTATACCTCGTCAAACGGGCGTTCTCCTCCTTTGATGAAGACTGTTTCGCCAAGGTCTTTCAAACTTTCGTGCGATCGCACCTGGAATTTGCTATCCAAACATAGAGACCCTGGACCGCTAAAGACTTGGGCATATTTGAAAAAGTTCAACGGCGAGCAACGAAACTTGTATCTGGGCAGTGGTCACTACCCTAAGAAACACGATTAGCTAATCTCGACCTCTTTCCTTTGAGTTACAGCCAGCTACATGGGGACCTGATACAAGCTTTCCGCATCGTGCGCAATCAGGGCTGCTGCCACGTGTTTGGAGACTTTTTCGAGTTGGCGACTACGACTAACCTGAGAGGCCATCCACTCAAACTGCGTGTGGCTGGCGCCCGGCTAGACACCCGAAAGTTCTTCTCCAACAGAGTGGTTGCAGCTTGGAATGCCTTGCCTGAGGATGTTGTTATGTCGGGCTCCGTAGATACCTTTAAAAGGAGGCTAGATCAGCATTGGAGCGTGCACCACAATAACGCCGAACTACGGCCACCTTGGCAGCCAACGTTGAAAATGTAGTGTTGTTACGATGCTACTACCAACATTTAAGTAACATATGTTTGTGTAATTTATTACTTTTGGGCCACGTCGCACACGCTGTTCGCATTCACCACGATGCCTGTAGACTAAACAGTTGTACTTCTTTTCCCGTATCTTACGTGTGCCTCAACTGTCCGCTGTATTTGATCGACAAAGCAAGTTAATGTGCCTCTAAATTCTGTTAACTCATGACATTCCGTGTTCATCTGTACAGTTTTTGCTATCCCCCTCGCATTTCATTCATGTTGCTTCCTTTCCATTTCCTCCATATAGTCCATCTTTGTAGACAGGGTCTCGGATTTCATTGCAAATTTTCATAATGTTAGCAAGCATTAGTGCTTTGCAGTCCAAATGTCTTGCGCGATGATCCGCGTACATGAGAAAAAGGCCCAGCACTGAATCCTGGGAAGTACCACTGTCTACCACAGCAGGATCTGATTTCGCCTTACTAAAAAAATGATTAAAGACAGGTGTTCCTTACCGTTTGCAACCTATCCATCGACCCTAAAATAATTTCGTTTGACTTGCAAAAATTACGAGAGGGTTTGATTGCGGCCCAACACTTGGCGATTTTTAAACTGACCACAACAACCAACTTCTAAAATTACCTATCAAAACTGAAATGGATTACATACAACGGACTAACTGATGTCGATAAGGTAAATCCTTTGAGCGACACTATCGGCCATGCAGCGAAATGTAAATGCAATTGCTATTTGAAATAAACTACACAGGAATGTGAAAACTCTGCAAAATTATTTTTTGTTAATGAGAACTATTACTCAGTTTTTGCTTTCAGAAAAACTCCCACAAATTTTGGGTGTTGAAGAAACTGATCAACTATACCTTACCGACGGCGTTTTTGGTCTCTGATCTCTATGGCTGGTCATATCAGGGGCAGTTTTTCAGCCAACGATAACAGCTGTTCTTTGGTGCTTCTGTTCGAACCAGCCCCAACGTCATGAAAAGAATTGGCGACTGAAAATAATCGATACAGTGCTACCCCTCCCATTCTTGACTGTCAGCATTTCGTGGTAAGCAGTTTTTTTTCTCCTGAGCCCTGCACACTATGAAAAACATTCATTAAATTTATTTTTTATCTCCATTTTGACAGGAGTTGCTTTCGTTGGTGGCCGGATTTGTGTTTAGAGCTTCCCTGACAATGCCTATAAATGGGCATTGAATATTATTATTATTATTATTATTATTATTATTATTATTATTATTATTATTATTACATGCGGGTGCACAGTCGTCGTAAAAGTGCTCTCAACATGGCCCACTAAAACAGAGCCTATTATCGGCCCAGGCGAGGACGGTCTTCTTACTTATCTAATCGATATAAATGCTTGACATGGATAATGTCGCATAAAGTCAACTACAAGCATTTAAACTAAGCGAGATATAATACGCACAGACTTTACCGCAAATGATAAATTTTCACGGCCTCTGGCCAAACCTGGGCCGGAAGGGCTCCGAATACTGACGGGTCCATGTGTTGGCAGGGTGCGCGTTCAACAGGCACAGATGGATATGGTAAGTGTTGGGAGTGCCTACACTCCCATAAACAAGAGCCAGCCAATCACTAGAGCCCACTTGCGTTTTCTCTACTGCGCTTTTATCTTAATCGTAGCGCCTGTCCATTGGCTTTTACTCTCGCGCCTGATCGATATGCGTATTCGAATTATTGACCAGCCTGTCTGGAATGTTCTTCCCGTAGGGTATTGTGTCGAATGCCGGCGAACCACAGAAAGGCGTTATAAGTATGCGTTAATTCCAGTTAATCTTGACTGGCAATTTCCTAATACACATTTTCGTGGCTGGTCGCGTTCTCCTACTCTGCCGCGTTGGTATTGGGGACAAGAGTCGGGTTCGCATACGCTCCCACGTGCTTTAATTACAGGGCCGGGTCAAAACAGTAAGATCCCATTCTCTGTGAGGGTGTTTAAACCATGACATGTCTTTCAGGAAAGTGTTACGATGTTGCCCTGTAACGGCCAAAATAGAGCATAGGGGTTTAACCTTGTTTTACTAATCAAGTGAATACTGGTCTTAAAGAAAACCCGGGGCCAAGCTCACCACGGGGACGCGATTAAAGCCGCTGATCCGTGCACCCGATAAGTCCTGCCCTCGTTTGTTACACGTTTGTTCTTTCCTTGATCATTGTTACCTTTTGTTTTGCACCCTTTGTCTTTTCCCGGATTAACCTTTTACCCTGATGTATGTACATACCTCCTTGATGTCATCTAACTTGTTGGTTTCAATGTTCAATTCGTTATCCACTTTCTACTGACGTTACTCACGTTTATATACTCTGTTAGAATAAACCTTATCTTCGGCACCTACCTACACTCTTCCCACCTCCTAACGCACAATTCCTATGTGCTTGAGTCTGCCTGTGAAGAATGTCGGACGTTCCATGTTCGGATCCTCAAGTTAATCCTGAGGTCGTAAAGAAGAGGAGGCTATCCCATCCAATATCGATTCGTCCCCTACTGGCCCATCTGGAACGGACGCTACAGCACTCAGCGAAAGATGCACAAGAGACTTTGGCATACTTTTGTCTTAAAATAAGTCAGGAAGATCTGAAACTGAACACTTCTCTAGAGAGCCAAGAGGGAATTTTCATATTTTTATGGTTCCCTATGAACTCCATAAACATTTGATTAGTCTGTACATTGTACCAAATTTTACATTGGTAAGGTGGTGTTTAATGAATAATAACTATTGTTTCGTAAACAAGTTGCGTGAAAATTTAAGAGAAAGACACGTTTGTATTCAGTGCTTCGGGAATATATCGTATAAGTAAACGAAACACTCCAAACTTGAATCGACGGATGTTTTATATGTGCCGTTGACCGCGCGCCCCGTTGTATTTGCTCATAATCTTTGACGAATACTGCTTGATGCATACATTAGACAGGGACACTAGAGAAGTTTGTTATTTCTCATCGTTACTGTTTAATAGGAGGCGCTAACGCAAGAGCTCAGGCGAAGTGAGTCGCACAGATCATGGTTTAGGAGGTCTAAAAAGAAGGCGGAGAAGGAGAATTCGCACACGGTTGATGATAAGATACAACACTCTCGAAGGCCTCCCTCCAAGCCTCCTGTAGAACCACCAAAAGCCGAAAAACAACCAGAAGACTCGCCTGCTTTGCAACAGAAAGTAGAGCATATAATGCAGGAGAACGACGCGCTTCGAGACGAAAACACAACTTTTAGGTACTTATTTTGACTATAGATGACTTGTTAAGGTATCAGATTGAAATATTGACCGACAAGGTAACGGAACTAGCCGAAGCTAATCGGAAACTTCTTTTTGGCGCCAGCCAGATGCGTGAGGTAAGTTTCTCAGTTCATCGTGCTGCATCTGATTTCTTGCTTTTTCAGAGGAGCTTATGTGCCAAAATCTGTGCCAACTTGTTCCGGTGTTATGTATAATATTTTTTGCAGCAACATGCACGTGTTTTGGAATATTCCCGTCTATTCTACCGTTGAAAATGTTTGTTTTTTGTCTGGCCCAGTGCTCCTGGTTTTTATTCCAACCAATGTTCTCTCACGCAGTCACGGGTTGCCTTTTTACGTTTTGAGGAACACACTGTGTGATAACGCGGTTCTTTCACATTATACAACTGCGCTTGACATCATGGCGCTTTGTAAACAATAAGTCGTGTGTGTTAGTTTCGGTGATCCGAGACCAGCCAAGCTATTAATCTCAGTCCTACGTTTAGGGAAGGGCAATTAGTGAACCATACTGGTTAATCAGCCTGTTAGCGAATTCAAAATAAAATAATAAAACCATCAGTAAACATAGAAGTACCTACAGACTTCGATTTTTTTGTGTCTTTAGTTTCTTTACCAATACTTTCTTGTAGGCGCCTATGACTGATGGAACTAATTCACGAATTTTCATTTTTCTGGGTCCTAGTCTTTCCAAAGTTGACTTCTCAATTTTTGACCTCTTACGTGGTGCCACTAATCTTGGCTTCCAATTTGTGTCTTTCAGGGCTCCATATAGGATTGACTTTCGGCCATTTCTTTTTTAATAGTGAACTTTACCACGTATTTTTATTGTTATAACCTCGTTGTTTGTAAACCTATGTTTTTAGAACCTTGATACTCAATCCGGGTTTCCTATAAATCTTACATTTAAGCGGCTACTCCATTGCATATGACGAGTTTGTAGGAAATGATGAAGACAAAAGCGTACATAATAATAAATTACTCATAAAACGACTGACCTGACCGCCGACCATTTCCACTTTTTCTCATCTCTGTCAATGTTTTGTTTGAAATCCACGCCTCATTACACCAATCACTGGCGTAATGAAGTTAGGGCCTTAGCAATTTTCTGCTATCCCGAAGCCTTCCTTCGT